AGCTAATTTTCCAGTCTTCCCAGCATTCTGCATTTGGGGTAGCCGCAGAGTCAGTCCAGAACGGTGCAGGAGCAGTAGCATGCAAAGGCATCGGCAACACGCGACGCCAATTTGTTGTATCTCGAAAACGCAGCAGACCAGAGCAGCACCAGAACGTATTTATGGGAAAAACTGTCTGCACGCACGCGCGTTCAAGTAAATCGATAGACGTTCGAATGGCAAGCAATCAAATGCAAGATCACATGACTGGTCAACCAGTGCTAGACAGAAGTGCGAGTAGGATAAGTGAACCAAGGGCAAAAACAAAGCAAAGAATCTGAACACGACAGGCCCCCTAAGACAACCCACTACTTCGGCCAGGGTAACCAGGTAGTATCGCGTCCACTGATGAATTATGAACGGACAATTCGATGAGCGCTGGCGTTGAGCTCCTCCCAGGCAGCCGAGTTCTTGACTTGGATTGCGCTGATGATATCGTCTTGTTGGGTGACGGTCCACAGCCTGTTTAAATTGCATTCAACAGCTTGGCGATTGAAGCGTCAAAGTTTGGAACGGCTTTCTCCCCATCCAAGTGCAAATATCTTTTCCAACACTTGCAGATACGTGTACCTGCACTCACTCTTGATGGTGAGACACTGGAGGCTACGCAGAGTTTTGCCTACACAGGAAGTTGCATCACAGTTGGTGGAATGTTGGAGACGAGATTTCGACGCGTATCTCAAGAGCTCGCCTCGCTTTCTCTAAACTGAGGCACTTATGGCGCCGATATGACATCCGTCTATCCATCAAAGGGCAGGTTTATTATGCGACTGTCCATGCTGTACTGTTATACGGTTGCGGGATTTGACCTGTTCGTACCATTGACCTACGCCGTCTCTCTGTCTTTGAGCACCGTTGCTTGCGGTCCATTGCCCGTGTGTGGTGGCTGCACCACGTAACCAATGTGGAAGTTAGACAGCGTGTCTTAGGTGGAGGCAGCCACTCGTTTGAGGAGCTCGTCCTGCTGCGTCAGCTGCGGTGGCTTGGGCACGTACTGCGCATGTCCGCTCATCGTCTTCCGTGTCGGGCGTTGCTCGGAGTTGCTGAACAGGACTGGAGGAGACGGCGCGGTGGACAACCTACAACATGGAGTAGCTACACGAAAAAGCCGACGAAACAGTTGGCCCCGGTTTGCCTGCGTAAAATTCTAAATTATTTCATTATACACCTAGGCAACCGGTGTGATTTGTTGAACTGATTATTGAGTTCGAATGCTTGACTTGCTCATGGCCATTTTTGCTTGGCGCTCGTTACGGTTGCAACGCACGACTGTCCTGTGTGCTGTGCATCCTCCGTTGTCCTAGCTAGATCGTCAACGGCGTCGTTTTTTATAGCTAGGTAACAGGGAATCTTTTACTGTACCAATAAAAGTTTCCCTGCAACCCGATCCGCCTTTTCGAATCGCTCTCCGGGCTCCCGCTACAGGCTATTCGCTAAATTGGTGACCCCGACTCCGGAAGATTCTCAGCGCCGGATATTGCGAAGTTTGCACCGGTGAACTCGTTCCATTTATTTTTCATATTTTCCAGTTTATTTTTGCATACGGCAGCCTATTTTTTGTGTCATTTTTAAACCATGGAATCTGTTGACCCTAAAGTAGAGTCTCTCCTTAGTGTTGTATCTCTTTCTGTGCCACCTTTTTGTGACATGGATCCTCTTTTGTGGTTCGCTCATCTTGAGGCTGAGTTTTATAACCACAGCATTACTTCCAACTACGCGAAGTACAGCAAGCTAATGTCCTATCTCCTCATGGAGATATCAATGCAGGTTCGAGACGTTATCATTTCTCAGATCGAAAACCACTATGAGGCTCGCAATGAGGCCACGATTAAGCGTGTTATGCCCTTTGAGAAAGTTCGTCTGCAGCAGCTTTTCAGGGATCTGCAGCTAGGCGACAAACTGCCATTAACCCTGCTACGAGAGATACAGCAACTAATTGATTCCTCAACCATGGACAAGACTTTAACTCGCGAACTATGGTTACAGCGGCTACCAGAAAACACGCAAGCGATTCTTGCTATCGTGAGCTCCATTTCACTCACTCAACTAACAGATTTAGCGGATCGAGTTATTGAGCGACCACAACCACAAGCCGACGCCAGCAAGATCAATTTCGTCGCGTCCCAGGGCACTTCTATCACTGGCTTACAGTCGACCATAGAAGCCCTGCAAACACAAGTTGCGACACTTAGTCGCCAGGTTCAACAGCTTACTATGAACCGTCATCGTCATAGCCGATCAAAATCGCCCTTCAAACGTTCCAAGTCCAACAACAGGCAGGCTTGCTGTTGGTACCATCAACGCTTTGGTACCGCAGCTCGTAAATGTATCAAGCCTTGCAACTTTGCCGAGAAGCTTCTCGGTCGGTCCGTAACGGCGACGGACGCAACCGGTCAACACCAAAGTCGCCTCATCCGCGTTAAGGATTTAAGTTCCGGCACCGAGTTCCTAGTCGACACTGGGGCCGAAGTTAGCGTTATACCCCGTAGCCCAGATGAGGTCGTCTCACCCTCGCCGATCAAGCTGCGTGCCACCAATGGCAACTTTTGGCGAAAAACTGCTAACGCTCAATTTAGGCCTCCGGCGAACCTTTCGCTGACCTTTCATAGTAGCTGCCGTGCCTTTCGAGATCATAGGCATAGACTTACTTTAACGCTTCGACCTCATCGTCGACGCTAAAAAGAAGCTTATCGACTCTAGGACACAGCTAAGTGTTATCGGGACTAGCGCCAGCGTGGCTGCTATCACTCCCATTCGTGTCCTACCTCAAGATTCACAGCCTTTTATAGAACTTTTCAACAAGCATCCTAAGCTCGTTCGCGTTTTGTACGATTTGTCTCCTGTGACGTCAAACATCATGCAGCACATTTGCACTAAGGGTCCACCTGTTTCGGCCCGCCCTCGCAGACTAGCCCCGGACAAGCACAAAGCTGCTAAGGCGGAATTCGAGCAAATGCTCGAACTGGAAATAATCCGCCCGTCCAAAAGCCCATGGGCATCACCATTACACATGGTGCCGAAGAAATCCGGTGACTGGCGCCCCTGTGGTGTCTACAGGGCACTTAACAAAGCTATCGTCCCGGATAAATACCCCATTCCGCACCTGCACGACTTCACCTCAGCTCTAGCTCGTAAGTCTATCTTTAGCAAAGTCGACCTAGTTCGCGCCAACCATCAGATACCTGTGGCGCCAGACGACATTGCTAAAACGGCAGTCATCACGCCATTCGGCCTATTCGAGTACCTCAGAATGCCTTTCGGCCTTAGCAACGCTGCTCAAACTTTTCAGCGTTTCATTCATGAGGTAACGCGAGGATTCGAAGGCGTTTATCCCTATCTAGATGACATCCTCATCGCCAGCTCTTCTGACGAAGAACATGTTCATCACCTCGACGCTCTCTTTCAACGCTTAACGCAGCCTGGGGTTACCGTCAACCCCGATAAATGCGAGTTTGGTTAAAGCTCCATCGACTTTCTTGGCCACCGAATATCCGTCTCTGGTATTGAAGCCCTGCCAAACAAAATCCAGGCATTTAAGGACTATCCTGCTCCTAGTTCCTTCAAATAGTTACGCCGATTTCTTGGTCTGGTTAACTATTATCGATGCTTTATTCCTAACTGCGCGAGCATTGTTCAACCAATGACTGACTTGCTCCGCGGTAAATAACGCTCTTTTCATTTTCCAGATGACGATAGACTGTCTTTTGAGTAGCGCAACGACGCTATCTCCAACATAGCGCTTCTCGCCCACCCAGACACATTTGCACCACTCTCCCTGACAACTGATGCATCCGACACTGCCATCGGTGCAGTTCTACAACAACTCATCGACCATCGATGGATATCTCTAGGTATTTTCTCGAAACGTTTACAACCTGCCGAATTGTGTTACAGCACCTTCGATAGGGAACTATCAACTATCTACCTAGGTATCAGACATTTCCGTCACTATCTCGAAGGTCGACATTTTACAGTCTTCACTGACCACAAACCATTGATCTAAGCAAAAAATGGTGCAACAGACAAGTATTCTCCGCGGGAAATTAGACACCTAGACTACCTTTCTCAGTTTACGACAGACGTACAGCATGTCTCAGGTGCTCTCAATCCCGTCGCGGATGAACTTTCACGCATTCAGCAGATCAACTTATCGCCTGGCACCAACATTGACCTAGCCGTCATGGCTGCTGCCCAACAAGCTGATCCGGACATAGACAAGCTACGACGCAACACCTCGTTGGAACTACGCGAAGTTCCACTAGCTTCATCTGAGGGGACCAGTCTTTCTGACGCCTAACAAACTTCCCCCCGACCCGTAGTTCCTACTTCGATGCGTCGACTAGTCTTAAACATTTTACACAACCTGTCTCATCGCGGCATACGTGCTTCGCAGAAGTTCGTAACCGAACGCTTCGTATGGCCCAACGTCAACCGCGATGTCCGCCTTTGGGCATGCGCATGCTTAGTGTCAGCGCGCCAAGGCATACAGACACACCAAAAGCCTACTTGGCGTCTTTCCCGCTCCTGACTCTCGTTTTGCACACGTCCAGGTCGACTTAGTCGGACCTTTGCCCCCATGCAAAGGCTACGTGTACCTCCTCACTTGTGTCGACCGAGTCACCCGTTGGCCAGAAGCGATTCCGATAGCCAACTGCTCATCTGAGACAGTTGCACAAGCATTCCTAGAACCCTGGGTAGCTCAATTTGGTTGCTCAAGCGTAGTCATCACCGACAGAGGATCACACTTTGACGGATCATTCAGCACACTTGGTTGCCAACACAACCGAACCACCGCATACCACCCAGGGGTCCATCCGCCTCGGTGTTTAGCGAGATAGGAATGTTCATGTGGAAAACAGAGCAGAATTATAACAAGTATACAACAGTAAAACAACAGCAATAAAAAAAACATAAAAAGGGTGCAAAACGGGATTAAAACTGGGAAAAACCGAAAAAATTACCAGTAAGCACCAAAGAAGCTTTAGCCAGTATCACTTCAAGTTCAAGTGGGACTGGAACAGTAGGATAAATCCAAGTGGATGTTCCTTCCATGGCGCGTCGTTGATCCAGGTTATTATTCGTCCGCGATAGCTGGAATCCAGAAGAGTCAGATCAGCGCGCGCGAATCACACCAAGGTCAACCAATTAATACCCACGCAACCTGCATTGGCAGACCCGGCCGCACCGGTCACGTGAGATAAGAAAGAGAAGTACTAAAGTAATAAGAGTGTCAAAAAAACGTAATAGATTCAATAATTCAATAAGACGAATAAGCTAGGACGTGAAGGGGAATGTTAAGAATTGAAGACTAAGAGCGTCGAGTCGGTGTTCGAACTCTTTCACTGTTGGTGTCAATGCCACGTTCTAGGGCAGTGCATTCCAGGAATCCACCGCTCGGCGTGATAAACGAAAACAGACTGTGAGTCGTCGATTCCATATTTCTGGAGTTTGTAGAGTAGAATGCGATGGTTTAGACAGTCGAATGCCTTTGAGAAATCCAAGTAGGCCGCGTCGACTCCTACACCAGCGTCCACAGATTCCGTCCAGTTTGCACGAGCAATCAAGAGATTAGTGGTACAGAAGCGATTTTGGCGAAATCCGTGTTGCTCCGGAACGAGAATTTTGTTATTCTCCAGGTACTCCATCAAAGCCTCAGCTATAATGGACTCCATAACCTTGGAGATCACAGGAAGTAGTGTTATCGGGCGATAAATTGCTGGTTCAGCACGACTGCCATTTTTGTAGATTGGCGTAATGATTCCGTACTTTCACCTCGTGGGGACATGCATCTCGTTCAGACATGGTTAAAGAAAATTGCTAGTGACGCCGCCAAACTCATGGCAGCAACTTTCAACGCCTTCGGCCAAATACCGTCCGCACTCGGGGAGCTGAACTCGCGCCGAGACATCAGCCAATTCAGTACAGCTGCGGAGCTGAACAGTATGTGATTAAGGCCTGATGGCGGCGTTATCTGCTTGGCAGGATGTATGGTGATTGCACGCTTTGGAAGCTATGGCCAAATTGTTGTCCAAGAACGATGGCCGCCTCTTTTGCAGTTTGTGCTAATCCGCATGCTGTGTGCAGGGTAGGAATACCGCGCTTAACACGACGCAAATTGTTTACGTGTCTGTATAGCAGTTTGGGATTGGAGCAATACTTTTCCACTAGACCTTGTAGGTTCTTCAGTTTGTCCTCCCGGATAGACATCCTAGTTATGGTCGTTCGGGGAAGCTATGTAAGTGTGCCATTCCAAGTCCCTTAATGCCATGCATTTACGTGTTCTGCTTCTTACGAAACACGTCATTCTTTTAGGCCGGTGGAGTTTGGTTTTAAATGTTCTTCGCACCAGCTTGTTAAATAAGTTGACGTATTTTCCGCAGGTGATCTCAGGGGTCACTTTGGCCAAGAACAACTAGCTTGTTGCATCAATGAGATCGGACAGGTCGTCATATGATATTCACATGATATGCACATGATATTCCTCGGCATGCTCTTTAGAATAATCTGCGTAGCACATGTAATGAAACAATAGCGTCGCATGATCGTTGCTGTTTAAAAGAGTGTCGGCTATCACTCTCTCGATCATCAGTTCTTCATTAGTGAATATTCGGTCCAGTTTGGATGACCTGTTAGTTCCCCTGAATCTGGTGGGCGTAGTAACGTGGCCATAAAGCGGAAAGTCTGAAACCAGATTTTGCAGGTCTGCTTTGAATTGCTCTCCTGGTGTGGCCTGGGATTCTAGAACATGTAAGCTGAGGTGGCCGGTGACTACAATGTGACTGTACTTCCTGTTTATCACTTGCCTTAACGCAGCCATCAAGTTGCAGTCCGTCTCATGAGTAGACAATGGTGGGCGGTAAACAACAACCAATAGGCCAAAATCGTCCACCCTCAGCCGGAAATTGCACTAAATGGAGTCAGGTACGTCGGTTTCTGATTTGTTTGTGGGTTGGCATTGCAGGTTGTTACGAAAGTAGAGGGCTATCCCACCACATTTGCTGGTCCGATCATTCCGGACAACGGACACACCTGTTAGCGCGATTTCAGCATCGGTTATCTCACAGCGCAGCCACGTTTCGGTGACAGCAATGAGGTCCCAAGCTGCTGACGCGTGTCGAAGTCTTAATTCAGCTTATTTGCTGAGTAGACCTTGGGCATTTGTGTACATGCATGAGAGCTTCTCGGAGACCAAAAGTGTGTTAGGTTGGATGGATGCAGCAAGTGAGTTTACGCCGACCAATAAAGGGTCGGCGACTAATCGTTTTGTGGATGGGTTGCATACTCTCGAGAAGTATTAGATATATAAACAGGTATCAGATGCACCGGATCCCGGTGTTTGCTCGTGCTCTGTTGTGCCCCTTAGGATAGTATGGCTACTCTTGAAACCGTCCCCGAGTCGGGTCCTGCAGTTGACGTTTTCATTAAGAGTAGTGCCTCTACTGAATTGTCGTTAAAAGGTGCTGGTGTCCCCGCTGCTTTCAAACGAATTTCTGTTGGCAACCTGCAACGGAATTTAGTCCAGTTCCTTCTTAGGGTTTGTGCCTTTATTTCTGATTGCAACACAAGTTTTAACAGCCTGCGACCGCACCCCCTATAGTTTGGTAGTATGGGGATCCTTGTCAACGAGATGGTCACGACATTTTTGTGAGAAAGTGCCTCCCGGATGTAGTTCCATTGCCCGCGGTCGTAAATCTGAGTATCGTTGGAAGAGGAATCTGTAAGCTCAGGAACACCGTGAGTAATCACGGTTTTCTTATCTTGACTTTTTCTGTACCTCTCTCTGTTAGCGGTATCCGCTGAGCGCTGTTTCCACGGATTCAAGGTAGTATACGCACTCCACTTGAGTCGTTGCGGAGACGATTCGCAGACAGCAGAACGGCCTCAGTCTCGTCCGTCGAGTTTAGTGTTACTCGAAGTAACCGGGGTTCACCGTAGTGCAATGCGTTTGGGTGACGTGAGATTCTTTTTAATCTCGTGGGATTCGCATGGACACCGATCGACGTACAGATGGAACCCATTGATTTCGCTCGTCCGTCAATCTACCCTTAATCGTATTGGATTTGGATTCGGGGACTTTGGTGCACACAATTTTTAAGGCACCATGGTTGGGTCTGATGCTTACTGGTTTTGGATTTGGAGCCTTTCTATCCGGTGTTTTCGGTGAAGTTATGAAGGGCACTGATGAGTGCCATCCGTGCTGCGACACCATTTTCCTCCAGTTCGGGCACAAAGGTTACGGGTTCTCTTTCCGGTGTTTGCTTGGCAGCAACCGATGCTTACGTTGCCGGGTTGTTCACTATTGCTGGTTGACTGTAGCTTACGGTCTCGCGTGTAGCGAACAAACTACGAGATGCAACACACTGTACAGAAGTTGTGGCAGTCACGCTGCAGGCAATGTTTTTAATTATAGAAGAGAGAGAGAATGGATTTGGTACTGTTGGAGGCTGAGTCGTTGGGGTTAGGTTGGAATGCCTGGCTCTCTTCTTCGGCCTGACTAGGGAATCCGGAGTGTTATTTCAATCACAAGTGCAGGTCCGTTTCCTCACATGAGTGTAAACCTGGAGCTCAACAGTTGCTATACCGCTTCTGTTAGTCTTTCGCACCTCTTCAGTAGCACAGCTAGACAGCTAATAAATGGGATAGAATTGCATACTTCGCAGAACCAAAATGACTCTATCGTGTTAGTGCACCCTTGTGTTATCCCCATCCCAAGGCAGGTAGTGTGATAGAATTTCAAACACATGGTACACTCAGACCACTTTTTATCACTTTAGCTCATGATTCGCATTTGCTCTTCATACGTGACATGTTCACAGTAGGCGTGCTGTTTTAAGGGGATAGCAAGAGGACAGAGATACTGACGCACCGTGTGACTTCGTTTCACTTTTCGTCGCGTGTCCATCGGCGCTGGTTTGCGATCAGAGGAGTCAGACGTGTCGCGTCCAGATGTGTCACAGGTTCCTTAGGGTAGATAGGCGACGTGCGTGCTATCGATCCAGCCGGTAAGTGGATAGACAGTGATGCGGCGTAGGATTGAGACAAAGCAAGATGGCTTGGAACATACTGTCTAATGACGACAGTGGCTGTTCCAAAGGCGGACCAATTTGACAAGTATCGCTTTGTACAGCGACTGATGGGATGGCAATAAGATAATCAGGTGACTCACAAAAAATGATCTTTAAAAAAGACCAAAAGAGCTCTTGGGCGACGAGAGGAAAACTAAATTCTCCGATAAGGTACAAACAAGATTGACTTCGAAATTGCAAAAACAAAGTTGAAGGTGTAAGAATACCTGATTCAGAGGTCGCGGCTAGACAGCTGTACACATGACCACTTAGCCCTAGTAGGTTGCATATAAATGGACTGTCGAGCATGAGTTCCTCATTTGTAAGTACGACGGTAAATACTGATGTTTTATCAGTTCTGTACCCGGTAGGTGAAGCGGTGTGATTGTAAAGCGGAATATTTCCGATAAGATATTGCAATTCAGGCCTTGAATATTATGCTTGAGTGTCGCAAAAATCCGTCCTTCAGGGACAAACGGTTTATTCAGCACGACGAGCTCAGCAGAAATGACCGCCTGCCAAGCATGTAGGAACCTCGATATAAATAACTAAGTCATTGCCAGAACTAACGACGCTGCTGCAGTCATGATATTCTTCTTTGGAATCAGTTAAACAAACCTGCTCCAGCGAACAAATCAGCGCGTAGACGGAATATGCGCAGGCTTCCAATCAACTGCTCTGTTGCTTGTGCCACGCTTGCCGCTTGCTTGCACAATCCTATCACATCCTTCCCTTTTTTGGGAAGGTGTCGCAGAAGACTCCGTACATTCTTCCGCTCCGCGTCTTCTTCCCTGCCTCCGTCGTTGTGACTTCTCAGTAAGGCGTCAACTGCTTTACTGCAGGTTCACCTTCTCGTTCCCGGTGTGGCCTCAAATGCATTCGGTTCCTTCTGATTACCTTCTGATTACGTTTGGAAGCAACCGCCAGTAGAGAAACCAGGTCTCCACAAGCAAAGAATATAAGCAACTACGATGCCAGGTACGAGACCCACAAGTGGAACCCATACAGTGTAGGAGAACAAGACATGTTAGGAAATCACCATCGCCCTGAACTTGGAGGGCCAGGAGCACGGAAGTTGAGAAATGGCTGGAA